GTAAGGGCTGGGCATATAGCTCAGTGGCATAAACACTGCCTGGCAAGTACAAGGTCCTGAGTTCAATCCTCGGTACCGCAAAAAAAAATGTATATTATTTATTGATATTTTGTTGCTGTCTTATTTCCCTCCTACGTGGACATTGTACAATAGTAGAATGTTCGTGACAGAACAGGAAGAAAAGTGACGAGAATGGCCTGCCACGTAGGAAAAGAAAGCTAATCACATGTTCTGTCAGTGTCAGATGTGTGCATGGGACATGCAGTTGTCATGTGTGCAGACTGCCTTGGATGTCACAGTTGAAGCAAAGATTCTTTCTGTGTAGAATTCTGTTTGTGTTTACATTGAAGCTCACATGGTTTTTATTTCTGATATTAACCCAGGTTTTGTGAGCAAACACCTCGTGTGAAAAATGTGAACTATGTCTATTCTAAGTGCTCATCACACACTTGATATTTTATATTACTAATATCTTATTTTCTTATTATTTAAGTGTGGTAACTGAAGTAAAGATTTTTTCTGTAGAGTGCTATTGGATTTTCACTGTAGCTCATATAGGAATTTATTTGTTTTTTAGACTTTCTACACCAAAAACCAGTTAAGCTTGAAAATGTTGGTGCTTTTTTATAAACATTCAATAAATACTTAAAATGCAATATTTTATTTTGATGATTTTTCCTAGGTATTCACTGTTTAATATAATGAAACTCATAACATTAAAATTAATAATTCATCAATAGAAATATTCTAAAGAATAAACGAGTGTGATACTCAACGGTTATGTCACAAAATGACAAAATGTGTTAGTACTGAATACTGCTTATATTCAAGGAACTGAATTACATAATTGTCTTGGTTACTTTTCTGTCATTGCTGAGACAAAATACCCAATACCCAAAGTTAAGACCACAAAGATTTATTTAGTTCACAACTTGTGGAGATTTTAGTTCATAATCAGCTGGCTCCGAGGCAAGGTGGCGTGGCACTGGGGCGACAGTTCAAGGTGGCAGAAGCCGGAAAGCCAGTAAGAAGGAAAAGCATGGACACAAGTCTCTTCCTCGCTTATATCGTATTCCTGCAATCCGCCCACCATCTCACCGCCCTCCTCTTCCAGCAGCTCAGGATGTTTAAAAAGTGAGGACCCTGGCC